TAAATGAAAAGAAGCGTCTGTCTATGAGATAGACTGAAATCTCCTCTTTGAGTTCTTCCCATAAGTGGTAGAAGAAAATTATATTTACAACTCCTTGAAGTCATTCAGAAACTTGTCTATATAAAAAATTAGAGAATGCTCTCATGTCTCTTTACATAATCATGAAACAAATAAGTTGTTTCTGAAGATACTGTTTTTATGTATGTCTTCAGTGATTCAACTTGAGACTTCTGCTTAAGAACAGAGAGTGGGGTTTGGTTTTTTCCTTGTTATTTAACATAATAATCATAACAAACTATTATAAAATAAACCCAAACCAACCAACAAAAATACCTCAATAACTCTGGCTTTTTACCCAATGGGAATTTTTTTCCACTCAATTCTACTCTGCCCCAGCACACTGGCTCCCTTTTACCTGTACATACAAGAAAATCAAACTTCTGTTTATTTATTTTTTTTCTGCCCTGAAAGGGATAGGAAATTCAATGCCAACACGGCAACAAGCATTGGTAAAAAGTTAACAAATCCCCCTTCATTTCAAGGCAACATAACAGCACAGTTACAGGAACTGTAATGAGGAAAGAAATTCCACTTTTCTAAGAAATACATCTATTTCTGCTTACAGGAACAAAAACACTTCGTAAAAATACTCAGGTCTCTGAAACAAATATTTTTTTACTGCAGCTTTACAGGGCTTTATCTCTGGGGAAATCAACTCCAGAAAGATGCTGACCTCCTTTTCCAATGAACTTTTGGATTCACTGATTTAACTGTGATGTGAAGACATGCTGCCACTCTGCTGTCCCAGACACTTGAACACTAGAGTTTTAACCATGCTTTTCCATCCTGTGGTACCCAGTTTGAACAGGCTGAGAAGTAACACGGATACATTGGTTGGAAGGGACCTCTGCTGTTCATCTACACAAATCTCATGTTCAGTGTGTTACAAGAAAATGCAGTGCTCAGGAAGGAAAATTCTGATGTAAAAGCATACATGTTTACTTAGCTCATACATATGAGCTGAAACAATTCACTTCCTGCAGGATAAGGGCTTACAAGAGCAAAATGAAATGTGCTGACCTTCTTCTGATATTTTCTTTAAAGCAAAAAAACATACAAAACAACTTCTGTGGCTTCCTGAAACAGTAATGGTCAAGGGCATCCAATCACAATCAAATAAAGGTCTACTAGTGCTAAAATACCACAACAGGAAAGGAAGAGCAAATATTGAAGGTTCAATAATGAACACCAACACAGATACAGAAATTTTAAACTAGGGAAATATGTAGATATTGATTCAGAATAAAACTCTAAAAAAATAAGTATAAGGATGATCACAATAAAAATAGGTTAAACATAACTAAAGCAAATTAAAAAAATAAATTAGGTTTATTCAAAATGCTGATTAAGTGGCCTAGCTATCTTTCCATAATTAAGAAGGAAATTGGAATAGTTGTATTCCCCTAAGTGAGAAAGAAATGAATGCACTGTAAATACTATGGGTCACTAGGTCACTAGGTAGGGTAGGAAGGAAAAGAGGAAGCCTACAGACTGCACAAGTTTACACAGGGAGTATTCCCCTCCCTAACACTGAGCATCCACTCAGGCTCCTAAGCCCGTACGCAGTGGGATGAACTTCAGGGCTCCCAAGAGTTGAGGCATTCTCCAGAGGGTCTCTGACCAAAGGAAGCACAGTTTGTGCCTGAAAAAAAGCAAAATACTGAGAGAATGAAAGTAGATTTTTTTCTTTGCAGAGTCCACCATCAATTTAGAAATCCATCCCTCAAGTCCACCTTGTAATGATATTACCAATTTGTGAATTATCCAGTTGTGTGCTCCCTATGTTGCCAAAACTAAAGGTCAGTAGGAGGACTAGCAGCATGGTCCTAGCTTCTTCTTGATGAAAGTCATTCCATTTTGTTAACCCACACTGTTACAATTGGTACTTTTTTATCTAGCCTTCAAAAACATAAAGGAATAGACTATAATAGCAAGCAAGAGACTGTAATTTCTGACGAATGATTGTATTTTCACGAGAAAAGCTGCAGGTTACCTGTAAAATAAATAAATTCATAAATATATAAATAAATAGGTCTGGTTATTTATCAATAGCACTGGTTATACATGTGCATGCAGAGAAGTAGAAGATGTCTATCTCTGAGTTCTCTTGGGCTCTCAGCACAGCCCTGCCTATGGTTCCTTGCTGCTCATTTCTCTGATTTGGCATGGATAACTGAAGGTTATTAGTGTTCTGAGGATTTATTTTTTTAGCAAGGTCTACCTGAAGTGCGTGTTGCACATAGGAAAATTCATGAATTGCAGGTCTGTCTTAGAGATGATGATGGGATGCAAGAGACAGAAATGGTTAATGGTGAGGAAGCACCACATGATATGGTAATGTGGAAAAGGAAGTTTCATCTTGGCTTTTAACTCTGAAACAACATCTATAGCATACATCATTACTGGACTGTCACTGTTGCTGACCTTCTCACTCACGATTAGTATGTCTTAAAAACTGTTAAAGAAATAAAGGGGATGATTTTGGAAGCAGCTGATGGAAGAACCATCCAACCAGTCACCCAAGGCAGATCATTAATGGAGATCAATGCCAGACACTGCTGGGGATGTGGGCCAAAGTCTCTCCATGTGTTTTGTGTCACACCAGACACCCACAAGCCTTTGAGTGAGATGGTGTACTAAGCACAGGTCTTGTAACTGTTTTTTTATTCTGAAACAAAAAAAGATACACCTTGCTCTCACAAACACAAAGGACACCTTGTTCCTCTCATCTGAAATGAGGAAAATCACAGTCCAGTGAAGCCTGGAGAGGTTTTGCCAGGAGGTCCTGTAAGAGTGAAATTTCATCCCACTCCCAGAATACAGGATGCAAAACTTCCTCAGGAGAGGAAGCCTACATCACACTCTGGTATTCAACAGGTAGGGTTTTCAGTCTGGGGTCCACATACTACTTAGCACTGGCTTGTACACTGCTGCAGAGCCAGGAGGCAGCACTGTGGGAAAGGCTTCCCTTACCACCCCTGCCAGTGAGTACCTGGCAGACGAGACCTGGCCAAACCCAAGCTCAGTACCATCATCCGCAGCACGTGTGCCAACCCAGTGTCCCCTCCTCCAAACACTCATCTTTGTGCATGTTAACTACTAACCCTGCTGAAGTCAGTGCTTTGGAGAATAAAGATTAAATATTTTGGCAAGATTTTGTTGGATTACCCCTATTGCCAGTCCTAAAGTTCCACATTTATCTCCAATGAAAGACTGCAACACAATATTTCACTGTCAACAGCATGAACACATACAAACTTTTTTCAGTGAGGATTCTGGTACCCTTCAGATATCTTTCTAGCCTTCCTCAGAGTGTCATCTTCAGTTCAGGCACCTACATCTGACCAAGGGAATTAGGAGTGTCTTGGCTCCCAGATCTGAATGCTCACCCTCATCATACCCAACTCCAAACCCAAAGGCAGGAATAAGCACCCCTGTTCTGCCTCCCACAAAAAGGGGTGCCAGGGTGGGAAGGGGTGTACCACCAGTCCCAAGCACCATGCAGTGCGTGGCCGCACCATGGTGGATATGTAACCATCACTACTGCGAAAAGACAGCAACACAAGAGGACCTGCCCAAATGAGCTTACAGCCTAATGGGAGAGAGCTCATGATTTCACATGGCGTGCATATAACGTGTATTTCTTTGTCAAGACATTTCGCTTTGAATTTCACCACTAAACACATAAGCCAATGATAAAATAAATCACTTGGGCACAGTATTGATCCTTGGATGACGACTGCATTAAAAAAATGTACATGCTTTGGTGTGTTACATAAATAATTCCCCTCTGGCATCTATTACACCCGCTGCAGCCATACCTTTCATTTAATTTATACAGTTTCTTTTGTGCAAAGACATCCAATTTTTTCCCTCAACCTAGTCCACTCACTTTACACAGTGGAATATGTGCAAAGGAAAAGCAGAAGCAAGAGACGGGAATTGATTGCTGCCAGCCTGGTAGGGAAGCATTACCCTTGCAGGCAGGGGACAAACAGCAGAGTCATCTGCAACATGCAAACCAGCTTCTTCATTTCCATAGGGAAGCAAAAGAAATACCCTTCAAAGATTCTCAAAACTATTACCACTCTAAAGAAGTTGTCCTTAGCAGGACCCTATGGACCAAAGGAGTTTAAAAAATAAATACTAAGGTTAAATGTATCCACTAAGCAGTTTCTGACACAGAAAACGATGCTGAGTGATCAGAGCCTGTGTAACGCGGATGCAGACTGCTCATCAGTCCCTAAATGCAACCTAATGAGACCATTTTCAGCTAACAGAGATGCTAAAACTGCCTCTAATTCGGTATCCCAGCCTTCCCTATCCCATCCAGTCCCTGCTCTGCCCTGCTCTACATTTCCAAGTCACTTCCAACAGACTTTATACCCATGAGAGATTTCTACAACGCTTGAGCAATTGAACCAGGAGTGCAGCGCCGGGTCCACTGCTGAAATTAATTACACTTCTGCGACTAATTGGAGGAGGTTTGGCCTAGCTCGACCCCGCTCTGCAGGAAGAGCACCACGTTTGCACCTTATCCCACCCGGGCTCCGGGCAGGGCGTGTGACCCACAGCACCGGCGCCCCGGTTCCAACCCCCCCGACGATGCACGATTCCCCTTGCGCAGCTCCACGCCCGCCCCCCAGCCCTCACACCGTCTCCGCGAGCCCCTAGAGAGAAAACCATCATCACCATCACCATCATCGCCACCATCACCAGTTAACTGCAACGAGAGAGTAGTTACCAGCGAGGAGCGGCGCCGCAACAGGCGATGAGGGGCAGCGGCGGGCGCGCTGCCGCAGACCCCTCGCGTGCTCCCGCCGGCCGTGCCCCGCCCACACCCTTGTGGCCACGCCCCCTTCTGTTGGCCTCGCGTGCTGCCGCTGCGGGCGGCGCGGAGGCGGTGGCTGGCGCGGCGGAGGGTGACGGAGGGCAGGCACCCCGGGCTGCCGCGGGCTCTCCGCGGGCTGCAGTGGCCTTACGCCAGGGTGCGGGACGCCAGCCCGGTTAGTCCCGAGTGCCAGAGGTTTGTGGCTGACAGGGGCCCGCGCCGCCCCTGCGGAGAGAGGAAGGTGAATCTGCTGTGGGCCATGGCCAGAGAGCGGCTCCGCTACCAGCCTGGGGGCCGGCAGCGGAGTGCCCGGGGCAGCTTGTCAGGGACGGGCAGCAATGGCTGAATCAGAGAGTCACAGAATCAGATAGGTTGGAAAAGACCTCTAAGACCAAATCCAGCCATTACCTGAGGACTGCCAAGTCCACCACCAAACCATGTCACTAAAGGCATCTACACAGTTTCAGTGCGCTTCCAGGGACAGTGATTCCACCACTGCCCTCGGCGGCCTATTCCAATGCCTGAGCACCCATTGGGTGAAGAAATTTTTACTAATATCCAGTCTAAACCTCCCCTGGTGCAGCTTGAGGCTGTTACCTCTTTCTTGTTCTATCACTTGTTACCTGGGAGAAGAGACCAACCCTCATCTCACTACAACCTCCTTTCAGGCAGTTGTAAAGAGCGATAAGGTCCCTCCTGTGCCTCCCCCAGACCAAACACCCCCAGGTCCCTCAGCCATTCCTCAGCACACTCCTGCTCCAGGCTCTTCTTCACCAGCTTTGTTGACCTCTGGACCAGCTCCAGCACCTCAATGCCTCTCTTGTAGTGAGGGGCCCAGAACTGAACACAGGATCAGAGGTGCAGCCTCACCAGTGCCAGTACAGGGGGATGATCACTGCCCTGGCCCTGCTGGCCACACTATTGCTGACACAGGCCAGGATGCTGTTGGCCTTCTTGGCTGCCTGGGCACAAGCTGGCTCAGGTTCAGCAGCCATCAGTCAGCACCCCAGGTCCTTTTCTCTTGGGTAGCTTTCAGAGTGAGAAGTCCCCAGCGTGTGTGTACAGTGTTCACAGATGCTGTGGCTGAGCTACCGCACCTCAGATCAGAGGCAGAAGCCAAGTCTGGGCAAGGGTTCCTATGTTCTGTCTGTGTCAGACAGTGCTGTGCAAGGCACCTGTGAAGGTGTAAAAATGGTAATAAGGAGAAGGGAAAATTTCAGCTCAAAGATGAGAAAGATTTAGGGTGAAGAACAAAACCAAGCACAATGTTGTATCTTACTAGTATTTTGTATTGTATTGTACTGTACAGTTATTATACTGCTCAATAAAATACGTTTTTTAAGGGTATCTCTGTAAAGACTTTCTCAAAGCTGATACACAGAACAGATGCTTTTTCCTGATCAGCATTAACTTGGTTTTGATACCATGAAGCAGAAAGTTCCTGATACTTGGCCGTGCTTACAGCAGGATACAACTGTATCAAGGTTTCTTTTAATCCACTCCTGATGTTGCCCTGTGTCCTTCTTCCTCTTCCTGATATGTTTGCTGCATATTGCTCCCTCCATCCCCCTTCTGCCCCTGACTTCATTCTTTTCCCCTAGCAAGGTCTTAGCCTGGAAGGGTTCACCATCTTCTTCACTACTGTATCTTTCATTCGGTTCCTGCATATGCATCAGGCTGAACTTCCCCACTACTCATTTTCTTCTTCCCTCCTTAAGCATTGGTGAGTCTTGCTGGCTCAAATGCCTGGTGTCTTGAACTAAATTGCACCTACATTAGTGACCACAGCCATGCTTCTGTGGCCACAGCCTTTAGACTTTTCAGTTCTGCTTTCATTTTTATTTTTACATAGAATCTTACCAACGATAATGATCAACTTTATCTCATGAGAAAATCATGTTCCCTCTCTCCTTGGCTTGCTTTTATCCTTCCTGTCTGTAGCACCTTGAACAACTCTTTCTCCTCTACCAGAAACACTAGGGTTTCTTGTCTGTGCTGCATTTGCACCAGTCTCCCGCTTTCCTTCTTACCTACACTGCTCCTTTTTGTAACATCAGGTTTCCTCTGGTGCTTTCACCTCTTTCCCTGACTCTGAGCCAATTGAATGTGCTGTCTCCACTCACTGTCAGGACTTCTTTCACTCCATTTTGATCCTAGTCCTTCATTTATTTAGTCTGTTCTACCCCCATGTAATTAGTAGGCAGTGCTCCTCAAGGCACTGATGATTTCTTCTTAACCATATCTGTGAACATTTCTTACCATTCTTGATCTGTCATCCAGTTTTCACACAGATTACCTATAAATGAGAGAAAAAAGAACATTCATCTGTCTTCAGATGTGCCCTAACTGGGTGTGCACTCTATGTTTTGATTTTTATCAATGTTGGAGGAAGGCCCAGTGGTGGCCCGGAGGGGTTGTGGGGTCTCCATCCTTGTGTAAAGCTCTAAGTAATCTGCTCAGACTTCATAGCCTACCCTGCTGTGAGCAGGAGATTGGATTAGAGAACTCCTGAGGTGTCTACCAAGATGAGTTATTCCCTATGCTATTATCCATGTGTCAGGTACCAGAACCCTTATCCTGAAGAGTGAAAGACTGTGATGATAAGATGCAGTGAATCACCAGGGAAGTCCAGACATAGCTATAGAGTGTTTTGTTCTTGTTCCTGAAACTCAACTTCTTTGCCTTTTTCAAGACTTGGTTCACTGTGGTTTTGTTGATGTTATTGGTGTTTCTATATGTTTTGTTTTGTTTTTAATGTTATATTCTTCCTCCTGTTCTTCCAGTTTATTGCAAGGATGTTGTCACTAGCCCCTGGTTAACATCATGAATCATGCCAGATTCCAGTTATTTTCATGCAGTGGTCACTCATCTTGCTGCAATATTTGACCATTTATTCAAACTGAGGATGGCTATAACTGAACTCCAGGATTCCTTTTCAAACTTCCCCTGCTTCTTCTTTTCCCTGTTCCCTTGTTTAACTGTTATTCAAGCACATTAGCAAAGTGTCACATCAGAACTCGGCCCTGTTTGCATAATTCGGGAATGTTTGTCCCTTTCATCGCAATATTTTTTTCTTTTCAGCACAGCTTTATATAATGGTACACTCATTTAAAATTAATCTTGTTGTTGTGGTTTAAACCCACCCAGACAGCTTTCACTCACTCCCCCCCCACACACTTCTTGCCCTCCCCCTACTCTCAGAGGGACAGAGAGGAGAATCAAAAAGAATGCAACTACCATGGGTTGAGATAAGAACAGTTTAGTAACTAAGGTATAACACAAATCACTACTGCTACCACCAATAATAGTAATGATAAAGGAAATAACAAGGGAAGAGAATACAACACTCCATCACCAGGTGACCGATAACTCGCCCCCCCAGCCCGACCAAGCACCGACCGATACCTCCTCCAACCCTGCAGTCCACCTAGCCTTTCCAGCTAACTCCCAGTTACCTCCTGGGCATGACGTGCTGTGGTATGGAATACGTCTTTGGTCAGTTTGGGTCAGGTGTCCTGTCTCTGCTTCCTCCCGGCTTCCCTCCTCCCTGGCAGAGCATGAGGCTCACAAAGTCCTTGGCCAAACCAAAACATCATTGTTTTTCAGCTTTGTTCCCAGCTGAAAGTCAAAACACAGCCCTGCACCAGCTACCAAGAAAGAGAAAAATGACTGCCACTGCTAAACCCAGGACACTTGTCCACATGCAAAATTGCACTGAAGCTTCAAGTTTATCTACTTTACATTACTGAAATATTTTTGCATAGAGTTGTCCTTGCTTCTAGCTGTATATGACCATTTTTTAAACCTTAATAAATCTTCCTGTGAACCATTAGTTTCCTGATGGCACTTTCAGTTTCTCTTCAAAGTCACCTTCATCAGTGCTTTCCCTTCTGTGTTTTCCTTCTGATTTCCAGTTCTTTAGTACCAGATCTTTATATTCTGTGATGTCTTACATGTTTCTAGCCTTACAAAAAAAAAAAAAAAGGCCAAACAAACAAAACAACAAAAAAAAAACCCTCTGCAATTTAGCATGGAGATTATCTTGAAAATTACTGTGAATCAGAGATTTGCTAAACTTGGCTACTAATAAGAGGATTTTTGAAACCAAATCAGGGTTTTTTTGATTGAAACCATTATCATTGCGTGTATTCATAAACTAAGACAAAACCACAGCAAAGCGTAAAATAGCTACTTGCAGAATCAGCCTTTTACAAGGGTTAAACTGTTGCTCTTACTAAATCTGTTTATCCAGCAGAAAACTGTTTCTGGGAGCTTTTAGAAAGCTTGACGTTGGGTGTTTCTCTATTTTACTGTTCCTCCTTTAGAACAGAGACTAAAAACTCCAATTGCCCCACCTTTTCTGACCGAGGTGCTGAAAAACATTCCTTACTGCAAGTAAAGTTAATTACTTTCTTTTTTAATCACCAATTTATTTCCTGAAACACTAATGATAACTAGAGAAACTGTTGAATCAGTTCTTAAGTGAACAAATGCTCTTTTTGTCCACTTCTGCACTTCTGTTTTATGATTCTTTCATCACGCGGTTTATCTGAGCAGACATTTATAGCTCAACACCTTAAACTAGAGATGACTATTTCTTTTTATTTGCCTTTTCAGATTCTTCTGATTTTTTGAAATATCTTCAGTCATCCATCAGGAACAAGGGCAAAGCAGAAAATGACTGATCAAACTGCTTTGTAGGCCTCTGCATCCTAAGCTGTCCTCTGAATTGAGGGAGAATTTTGGTAAAGGTAAATTGTATAAAGACAATTCTTATAGTGCATAGTTTCAAATTCCATGTGTTCTCTAAAATTTACATAGAAGACAGACTGGAAGTTAATCTACTAGTGGAAAGCAGTGAGAATAAGACTGTAGTGTGACCTGTATGACCTGCATATCTTTGGGAGGCTCTTCATGTAAACAGTGGAAAAGTTGTCAAGGCAGGTTCTGCAACTTAGGTCTTCCACCTATCAGACTTGATCACTACCTACTGGATAAGAGAGGCATTCCCCCTCACTCATACATAGATATGAGAGAAAATATGAAAAACTGGTGGCATCAAGAAAAATTAAATTAGATCACATGGAGTCACACCATAGGGGAAGTGAGATACAACTCAAATGAAGATGAAAAATTAAATGAAAAAAATAGGGTTTACTAAATACATAATCTATAAATAGCATCCATCACTAATAGGTACAAGGAGAGCCATTACAACAGAACTTAGTTTCAGGATAAAAGGTTTATCTATCACTTTTGAAATGGTTGGGGAATGGTCCTGCTTTTCTTAGAATATACATCCATGAAAAAAGCCACGTGTTGGTTTACATTATTTTAAAGGGATCAAGGATTTCTAATTAAAACAAAGGACTCGCAGTGCAGTATGGTTCAGAAATAACTGGGCATTTTGTGGGCCTATATATGTGAATGAAAAGCTCTTTCCAGTTTATATAAAGTAGCTATCGTTTAGATATTTAAGGACTAACCTTTAAAAATGAAAGTGAAAAATAATAACATGAGCTATAATAAAAACATTTTTAACCTAAATAATAAAAAAAAATAAGCTAGAAACTAGGCACCAAGCTTGGAAACAGATCTGTAGAGAAGGATCCTGGCACCTGAAGTCAGGTTCACTGACTTCTGTCAAAAATGCCAAGCCCTAGGATCTACTGTACAACTGCAGCATACAGAAATTTTACAGTGCTTTTTTGTAAAGATCAGCACAAAGTGGTAGCATGAAAAAAAAATGCTGTCCCTACAAACTGGGTTAAAGACACCGAAGCAAGCTTTCTTTCCATCTAGCCTCTGTAGTTGTGTTAGAAGTATCTAAATAGCTAAAACACCTCAATCACGACATAGCCAATAAAGCAGGCAAACAAAGAAAAAAAAAAGATGTTTGAAATAAATGGTAATTGACATTTTGTTAGAATAATGTCATACTATATTTGTTATCATTGTGTAATATTAATTTAAAAGGAAAAACAAGAATATACTAAAAGTAATACATTTGTAACAGTATTTAAAATAGTAAAGAAGTTGCAATTAGAGAAATAAGGTTGAAAACTCAGGCAATATAGTTATCCCCCCCTTGATATTATTAAACCCTTCCAAATATTATTTTGAAGGGCTGGTAAAATTTCCTTCCATACAATACATTTCCAGTCTGGCGCTGCTTGAACAGATGTAAATATTTCTGGCTCACTATCAGAGCTGTGCTTCAGTGATTTAAACCATTTTAAAAGTGATAGATAAACCTTTTATTCTGAAACAAAGTTCTCCTTGTAGTAGTACATATTAGTGATGGATGCTATTTATAGATCATGTATTTAAATAGTAAACCTGACAAGAATCTACGAGCTGCCCAGTAAATTTTGTTCAAGGATCATTTCTCCAAGCGGAACCGTTACACCTGAAAGATATTTATGCAACAACATGCCCATTGATCAGAAAGCAGTTCTTCAGCAACGGTAGTTTGATCGACTTGGTGGATGGAATTGTTTTGTGCTTCATGAAGTGTGAGACTGAGATCTGACAGTGGGAGCCCTGGGCTGGGAAAAGAAGATGGTGTGGTGTGGCATAGAAGTCCTTTTCTCTGCAGGGGAGTATACAAAGTGAGGATGTAACACAATGAAGCAGCTGGCTGAAAAGGCAGCAGAAATGTCAGGGTGTGGACTGTGCCCAGCACAGGGCTGGAAGCTGTCAAACACTGTGGTGGAGGGCAAAAAAATCAGGCAGATAAGTCAATAGTCCTAGCTTTCTTTCAGAGCGGAGTTGTAGCAGAGAGCTATAAGGAGTAACTTCCTCCTCAGCCGGTCCCTGGAAATGAGTTTCCCTGACAAAGGGAACATCTCCCTAACAAAGCGAACAGAACACCAACCTTGTGGAAATACACAAGCTGAATGAAGAATGATTTACTAAGCATTTCTTTGTTGATAAAAACGTTCAGAACTAAATGACCACTAGCTGCAGTAATGTTCAGAAATTTGGGACCATCTAAGGAACCAACAGAACTCTAGAATAAGTTCTTTGGGAATAGCCCAGATTGCAAAGGCCAAGTCCAGTTCTAGTGGGAGATGTATGAAATGAATCTCTGCATCAGTGGTGTAGGACATGAAGGCTCAGTGCAAACCCACCACACAGTCATTAAATGGAGGTGAATAAACTAAGTAAATGGAATTTATAAACCTTTTGGTAATCAGCAAAAAGAGGTAAGCAATTTCACTGAGTTCAGCTGTCTGAATATTTGATTCACCCTTTGAAGAGTCTTTCCCCTGTTCTGAAGAGAGGAGTCATATCTCCATGTTGTCTGCAAAACTGCATTAAAAGCATGATTCTGAACCATATGTATAAAGGAACTTAGTTTTTCCACATGCAATGTGTCTTCCACTATTATTTTGCACTTCTCTTTAGAAACGGCCATGGGTGAGAAGATCTGGCTCACCAGAACATTTAGAAGAGGAAAAGAAAGAAAAAGTCTATACTAGACATTACTTAAAGCTACCTGAACCTGGAAAGGAAGGGCCCTTTACAGACAGGATCAAGCAGTATGTGTCACTCTTAAGAGAGAAACTAGATGGATGACATTGTTTGATAATAAAACTGCACTATGGGAAATAAGATTCTCAGAAATGCAGCAAGGCACTTGTGGACTATGAAGGACTACAGCTGTTGCATTAACAATATAGTGGAATTATAACAACTTAATATGCAATCTTGATTTGGCTTTAAGTGACAGTGAGGTTAGAGTTACAAAATCTAAAGCACTCTGGAGAAGGATGTCATTTCTGAACAGTTTCAGGTTATTGACTTTTCACACTCTTTCCAGAGATACACTTATGTTGTTGTAGAGAATATTTATAGGTCTTTTTTCTCGTTGCTGCAAAGTGTACAGTATATAAATTCCTCAGCTATACAAATCATCTCTAAAGCATCAAATCAATGAAGCTACTCCCCACTTTACCAGCTGAGATCCTCAAATGACCCCTCTCCTTATTTTATTCAACTTCTCTACACTTTGTCTACTGTTTATTAAGAGAATTATTTGCTAACAGCACTATTATTCTTCTTTTTAGAGGGGAAAAACTAGTCTTGTCAAGTTATTTTTAGTAGAAAATCAGGCTTTGCCACATACTAAAAAGATTCTTGGTTCATGGTGTCCTGGGTTTAGCAGTGGCAGTCATTTTTCTCTTTCTTGGTAGCTGGTGCAGTGCTGTGTTTTGACTTTCAGGCTGGGAACAAAGCTGATAAAAATGATGTTTTGGTTTGGCCAAGGACTTTGTGAGCCTCATGCTCTGCCAGGGAGGAGGGGAAGCCGGGAGGAAGCAGAGACAGGACACCTGACCCAAACTAAACTGTTCTTATCTCAACCCATGGGAGTTGCATTGGTTTTGATTCTCCTCTCCGTCCCTCCGAGAATAGGGGGAGGGCAAGAGGGGGGTAGAGTGAGTGAACAAGCTGTCTGTCTGGGGTTAAGCCACGACACATGGTCATCACTGGTGATGTCTTTGCTGTGCTGCATCCATTCTTTTTTTGAGGCAAGCTGCTTAAATTACATTAAATTATTTAAAAGTACATAATACAACAGCATTGTCCCAACCTTGTGAGGCCTGACTCATCTTTTGTATGTTGCAGAGAGCTCCAAGCTAGCCTTGAGTGGACTGACAGATCCACACAGTGACATGCAGCTACATACAGAGATACAGATGGGTCTGCAGGACAGCGAGGTCAGTGCAGCCCTGCCTCTCAGCTCGTGCAGAGCCCTACATTGCTGCGGTTGTGCTGTGTCCTCTTCTATAGCAGGCTGACTTCCAGTTATTCCTAGAGTCTCTCCACTGCTGCCTTATTAGACAGTCCTCACATCTTGTAACTTTATGCAGCATCTAAACACAATGATCTCTGCAGCTTTGCTAAGGCTTCCAATAAGGTAAATAAAGACCTGTCATATAGCATTATTTTTGTCTATGGGAGAACTGAGAAACCTGATGCTGTGCTGAGGCTGGGGTTCTGTTCCTGAAAATGCAGCTTTCTGTCCAGAAACTCCAGAAATCTGTGTCACTGCATGCTGCAGTGAAGATCTGTTTGTACAGAAATTTTAAAGTCCCATGTAAAGAAGCTGGCAGAGTCATGCCAAAGGTTAATGGAAAAAAATGGAGAGGTTCCTCATTTCAGAGTCAGTATTCTGGTGTTCCAGGAGGCTTGATGGCCAGCATTAAAAAAGTGGTCCAAAATTTTCCAATTTGTTTGAATTATAGAAGTGGTCAACACTTTCAACTTTTTTTTAAATGTCTTAACTTCTGTTTTGCAGTGTATATTTTATTTGTCTAAGGCACATTGCCTTTGAAATGTCATCTTATTTATTAAACAGAAGTGTAGATTCGTAAGAAGATTAAACAATAATCCTTCCTAAATTATCAAGACATTCCAATTTGCTCAGTACAAAACAATCCTACATGTTTTTGACATAGCTTTCTTTTGGGAACAGGAAATATATTTTAGCATCTTAGAAATGTGTTAGATATGAAGGCAGATTTTCATGCAACTGTACAGTAAGTCTTGGTTTTGTGCTTGAAGTCGTAATTACAAACTCCAGAAAAAACAGTACTTTAAGTGAGTGATATATGACCCTAGTTTGTTGTTACTAAAGAAGCACCATCCTAAATTTACCTTGCTTTTAAACTGTCATGATCCTATCAGCAGACTAGGACCAAAGCATCCAGCACACTATCTTGTCCTTGAAGAAATCAAATAAATGTATCTGTCCAAATGAGGAATAAGACCGAAGAGCAAAACTGTCCTTTGTAAACAGGACCCAGAAGGTGTTGCCTCCAGAGCACATTCTGGATGGCGGGGAGGAGGGCCAGAGATGCAGGGGCAGCTAAATGCCTACCAAGGGCAACACAACACTGCAACATGATTCCCTAGAAAAACCTTTCTCATCTGGGACACCCTTTGGCTGGAGAACATCAGCATCAGAACCAGCGTGCAATACAAATTATGGTTCAGATTACTGTTAGTGGTCAGAGATCCAGAAAACCTACAGCATCATGGATACTGGGACTGACTAAATCATTCCAAAAGAAGCACGGTACTGCACCAACATTGCTCCTTCAAAAATGGCTGGAGGAGATCAGCCTCAGATCCAGGATGCCATGCAAATTAGGGTTAGGAGAGGGTTAGGGCTCACAGAGATACAAAGCCTAGATCTCCAGGGATAGTGCTGCTGCCAAAGGCATTCCAACAGGAGCACAGTACTGCACCAACATTGCTGCTTCAACACCTTTCTCATCTAGGAGACTCATAGAGCTGGAGGACATCAGCTTCATATCCAGGGTGCATGCAAATTAGGTATAGGGTTAGGGTTAGGGTTAGGATTAGGGTTCATAGAGCCAAAGAGCCTAGAGCTTCAGGGATACAGATGCTGTCAAAGGCATGCCAAGGGAAGCACGGCATTGCACCAACGTTAGTCTTTCAAGACTTTTCTCACCTAGGACAGGCACTGAGCTGGCAGACATCAGCCTCAGACGCAGGAAGCCATGCAAATTAGGGTTATGGTTGAGGTTAGAGTTCACAGAGACACAAAGCCTACAACTCCAGGGATAAAGGGGCTGTCAAAGGCATTCCAACAGGCGCACAGCACTGCACCGACATTGCTGCTTCAAGACCTTTCTCATCTGGGACACCCATGCGCCTGGAGGACGTCAGCCTCAAATTGATGATGCCATGCAAAATAGGGCTAGGGCTAGGGTTAGGGTTCAGAGACAAACAAAACCTACAACTCCAGAGATACTGGGGCTGCCAAAGGCATTCTAAGGGGAACACTGCACTGCACACGCATTACTCCTTCAACATCTTTCTCATGTGGGACACCCATTCCGATGGAGGACATCAGCCTGAGATCCAGGATGCCATGCAGATTAGGGTTAGGGTTCAGAGATTTAGAAAGCCCACACCTCCAGGGATACTGGTGTTGACAAAGGCATGCCAAGGCAAGCACGGCACTGTACAAACATTAGTCTTTCAAGACCTTTATCATCTGGGACACCCATTCTGATGGAGGACTTCAGACTCACATCGAAGATGCCATGCAATTTAGGGTTAGGAGATGGTCAGGATTTAGAGAGACACAAAGCCACTCCAGACATACTGGGGCTGCCAAAAACGTTCAAGGAGAGTACCTCAGTGCACCAACACTGTTGATTCAACAGCTTTCTCATCTGGGACACCCATTCAGATGGAGGAGGTCAGCCTCAGATCCAAGATGCAATGCAAATTAGGTATAGGGCTAGGGTTAGGGTTCAGAGAACTAGAAAGCCCACAGCTCCAGGGATACCTGTGTTGACAAACGCATGCTTAGGGAAGCATGGCACTGCAGCTACATTGCTGTTTTAACACCTTTATCACCTGGGGCAACCATTCGCCTGGAGGACATCAGCCTCATAACCAGGGTGCCATGCAAATTAGGTATAGGGTTAGGGTTAGGGTTAGGGTTCAGAGAGCCAAAGAGCCTAGAGCTTCAGTGATACACATGCTGTCAAAGGCATGCCAAGGGAAGCACAACACTCCACCAACGTTAGTTTTTCAAGACTTTTCTCACCTACGACAGACACTGCGCTGGCAGACATCAGCCTCAGACGCAGGAAGCCATGCAAATTAGGGTTATGGTTGAGGTTAGAGTTCACAGAGACACAAAGCCTACAACTCCAGGGATAATGGGGCTGTCAAAGGCATTCCAACAGGCACACAGCACTGCACCGACATCGCTTCTTCAAGACCTTTCTCATCTGGGACACCCATGTGCCTGGAGGACGTCAGCCTCAAATCGATGATGCCATGCAAAATAGGGCTAGGGCTAGGGTTAGGGTTCAGATACAAACAAAACCTACAACTCCAGAAATACTGGGGCTGCCAAAGGCATTCCAGGGGGAACACTGCATTGCACATGCATTACTCCTTCAACATCTTTCTCATGGGGGACACCCATTCCGATGGAGGACATCAGCCTGAGATCCAGGATGCCATGCAAATTAGGGTTAGGGTTCAGAGATTTAGAAAGCCCACACCTCCAGGGATACTGGTGTTGACAAAGGCATGCCAAGGCAAGCACAGCACTGCACCAACATTAGTCTTTCAAGACCTTTCTCATCTGGGACACCCATTCAGATGGAGGAGGTCAGCCTCAGATCCAAGATGCAATGCAAATTAGGTATAGGTTTAGGGTTCAGAGAGACACAAATCCTACAACTCCAGGGACAATGCCGCTGCCAAAGGTATTCCAACAGGGACAGAGTACTCCACCAGTGTTGCTGTTTCAACACCTCTCTCATCTTGGACACCCATTTGTCTAATGACCAGGAGGACATCAGCCTCAGATCCAGGATGCCATGCATATTGGGTCTATGTTTAGGGTTATGGTTCAGATAGACAAAAAGGCTAGATTGTCAGGATACTGATGCTGCCAAACACATATCATGTGAATAACAGCACTGCATCAACTTTAGTCTTTCAACACCTTTCTCAGCTAGGACACACATGTATTGTGAAGACATCAGCCTCAGATCCAGGAAGCCATGCAAATTAGAGTTAGGTTTAGGGTTAGGGATCAAAGAGACACAAAGCCTACCACTCCAGGGATGCTGGGAATGCCAAAGGCATTCCAAGTTGAGCATGGCACTGCACTGACATTTCCTCTTCAACACCTTCTTAATCTGGAACACCCATTTGGTTGGAGGACGTCAGCCTCACCTCCAAGATGCCATGTCAATTAGGGTTAGATTTAGGTTTAGGGTTTAGAGAGACTGAAAGCCCAAAGCGTCATGGGCACTAGGCCTAAAACAGTCAAACCAAAAGCTGCATGATGCTCCATCAATATTGCTCTTCAATACTTTTTCTCATCTGGGACACTCATTCAGATGGAAGACGTCAGATTCAGCTCCAATATGCCATGCAGATTACTGTAAGGACACGTTTAATGTTCAGAGAAACAGAAAGCATAGAGATTCAGGGATTCTTGGGCTGCCAAAAGCATGCCAAGGAAGGCACAGCACTGGAACAACATTGCTCCTTCCACATCTGCAACACCCATTTGGTTGGAGGACGTCAGCCTCAGATCCAGGATGCCTTCAAATTAATGTCAGGAGAGGGTTAGGTCTCAGAGTGACACAAAGCCTACAGCTCCACAGATACTGGAGCTGCCAAAGTCATTCTAACTGGAGCACAGCACTGCACCAGCATTGCTCCTTCAATACCCTTCTCATCTGGAACACCAATTTTCTAGGGGATATCAGCCTCACAACCAGAATGCCATGCAAACTATGGTTAAGGTTAGGGTTAGCATCAGGGTCCAGTGAGCTGCCGGCTGATGAAGTTGGGGCTATTCAGACTGAAGAAGTGGAGGCTGTGTGGATTCCTCATAGCAGCCTTCCAGTATCTGCAGGGAATTGACAGGGATGCTTGAGAGGGACTCTTTATGTTGGACTGTAGGAATAGGACAAGGGATAATGGGTTCAAGCTTAAACATGTTAGCAGTGTGCACATATGCTACTCTTTCCCTCATGACCTGTAGCCCAGAATTGCTCCTTGAGTGGATAAATTTAAGAGAAAATCCAATGCTCTACTGTGTGCACCTTGAAAAAGAGAACAGGTTATCTGGATTTGATGGAAGGGGGTAGGAATGACAGTGAAGTATTTTGTGGCGTGGGGCAGGGTGGTCTGGGCTTTGAGATGCTAATCTGGCCTTCAGGCCATATTATGTTTGACACTGTTTAAACTGACTCCATCCACAGGGCAGTCAAACTGTATTTCTGGGTTTGTTTCATGATATATCTGTGATCCCTGAGGATTTTTTCTTAAGGATCTTACTTTTTTTGCATTTAAATTAAAAGTCTGAGAGGCTTCTTTAAGCAGCTGATCCTTTTTATGTATCTTTTAGGCCTTTTTTTTGTTTCACCTTCCCACACTGACCCCTTTAATGAATACCCTGGTCTATCTTAACTTGTCGTTCAATAATTTATTCTTTTTTCTATAAAGGTATGTGCTGCTTATTTTCCATGACTTCACTAAAATGATGTAAGGCTTTAATTTTATAGTTTAGATATAAAAATAACTTCCAAAGACTCACAATGTAATCAGTGAGGCAAATAGCATAGCACAGATACTTATAAGACATCAACAATAATAATTTACAATATTCAACTTCTTTACCTTTTTGATTATTTGGAATTTAGGAAGAATCACAGGAAGAATGAGAGAGGTCTTCATGGCTGCCCTCCCAAGCTCCTGTCTGCTAGCATGGGTCTTCCTGTCCTTTATCGACCACCAGAAATGAGCTACAGTTCCCAGTGTTCTGGTGCCCAGCTCAC